TAGCTCAGTGGTTCCAGAGCCTGTCTCACAAGCTCAAGGACCAGAGTTCAATCCCCAGTATCACCAAAAAAAAAAAAAGTACAATTTAATGGTTTTTAGTATATTTATGAAGTTGTATGCCAATCACCACTACCTAATTCCAGAATATTTTCATCATTCCAAAAAGAAACTGTCCTCATTATCAGTCACTTCTCATTTCCCTCTCCTCCCAACCCCTCACAACTACAAATCTGTTTTGTGCATCTTGTACATTAAATAAAAATGAAAACATATGATATGTGGCTTTTTGGGCCTGGCTTCTTTCATTAGTGTTTCCTAGGCTCATCCTGGTAGCATAAGCCAGCACTTTCGTTTTCTTTTTATGGCTGAGTAACGCTCCACTATATGTGTATACCACATTTTGTATACTCATTCATCAATGGATAGATAATTCAGTAGTCTACACTACTATGAATACTACAGCCATGAACATTCATTCAGCTTTATTAGTAATAAAAATTGGGAGCCATCTATTAACATCACAGGGCTGTATGAGTGTTAAATGAGATGTGGTACCTGGCACCTAGGAGTTTCTTAGTAGACATTTATGTTTATTTCTACTTCGGTTCTTTCAGGAGAAGAGACAGGAAGGAGACTCATTCAGGTTCAAATGGCTTCTAAAGTAAGTTAAGAGACCTTTTAGGTCAAGGGTGTAGTCCCTAGATTGGGTGGGAGGGAGGAGAAAACTAGCAAGAGACCAACATTACTGCCTGGCTTTGTCTTCAGAGGGCCTTTGTCCCTGCAGGAGATCAGAGTCTCCTCGGTAGAGAGGCACGGGGGCCCAGGCCAACCCAGGAAAACAAGCCCAGCCTCCCTCCTCCATCTCTATCAACTGTAGCCTCTCTGAAACTTGGTTTCCTTCCATCTATAAAACAGGGATAATACTAAAGTGTTTGCATGGAGCTTATATTGTTCTCATAATACTTATGAACACCTAGCTTACTGAATTTGTTCTTTGTTTACTGTCTGACCCGCTGTACAGAATATAAGCTCTATGAAGTCAGGAACTTTCATTCACTGCTGCGTCTCCCACAACTCTAACTGTGCCAGACCCACAGTAAGTACTTGATGAATATCTATTAAGGATCATTTATTCATTATTCACCCAACATAGGCATGTTTTATTGGTTGGGGCTGTGTTGGGACAGGGAAGCAGAGATTAGTAAAACACTCTGAGTCCAAGGAGATCTCTTCAAGTGGAGGTGCCAGACACCACCAAGCCAGATTACAAGGAGACTTGGTAAACAGAGCTCAAGCTTTTCGTTCTGTCATCTTGCCTGGTAGAGAGAGGAGCAGCGCTCAGAAGGCTGAGCCTGAAACTAACTTGAAGAGATCAGAAATGATAAGCCATGGCATTCCCAAGGCTAGAGGGAAAAGAGAGGATGCACAAGAGGGGAGTTTCCTCCTTTTTCTCCTGGGCTCTCAGCCAGGCAGCCACAGGCAAAACTTTGAAAAGGCCTAAATTTGTCCTGGATGCACGTCCCTTGTCCTAGTCCCACTAGCCCATCTGAAGTCCCTAGGCGTCCTGGCCAGGATTCCAACAGTAATAAAATAGCTCCTTCCCTTCACAGCAGTTTACAGCCTTCAAGCTTGCAAGAGCCAACCCTGGGCTAGTTGCTAGTTGGAAAGCAAAGCAAACAGGACCATTCAAACACTGCAGGAAATGCTTCTTGGGATATCTGTTTACTTAAAAGGAAAAGGGCATCTTGAGGAATGGGCACTCTGGCGACAAGACCCAAACCAAATCCCTGGACTTGTGCCTGCCTTTCAGGAAGTCTTCCCTTTCTTAATTTCTCTAAAGACGCTGAGCTGAGTGGTTGCTGGGTTTTATAACAGCAGTATACAGCTGGTCCCTCACAGGCCTGGTTTAGAAGGACAAGCCTGAACTCACTGTTCTGCCTCAGGGCCTGGGCTCCATACCTGCGATGTAGACAGTCTTCTACTTTTTAACAGGCTGGACTTGAAGTTGGAGTAAATGGCCAGGTTGAGTGACAGGTGTTCCCCAGGTGAGCCCTTGGGGGCATTCTCCAGTTGGGCAGGACACCTGTCCCTGGAGGCCTGGCAGGCCGGCCTGCTTTGGCAACGTGCAAAGTGAGGGGCAGCTGACTTTCCCCTCTTTGGGTCCTCTGCCCCTCTCGGACCGGCAGGCCGTTCTTTTTTCTTTCTCATTTTAAGCCTCTCGCTGCTCCCCTCGTCCCTCCGGTCTAGCTCTGTCTCCGCTCGGCCTCTGTCTGAGCTCCGGGCCTTCCCCCCTCCCCCGCGCCGTCATTCACCCCGCTCCTCTCCGCGCACAGCCAATGGAGAGACCCGGCCAAAACGGCGAGGCTCGCTCGCACAGGGCTCTTTCGCGCTGTGATTGATGTCCCAGAGTCAACAGCGAGCGAGCAACCGGAGAGGGGAAGGAGAAGCCGGAGCGGAGAACGCGGCGCCCCTCTCTCCCTCCCCTCCCCCGACTTCAGCCCTACTGCGCACTTCGCCCCCAGCCTCCGCGCAGCCCGGAGCCACCGTGCGTAGTCGCCTCCACACTCGGCTCGCTCCCCGGAGCACCGCTCAGCGAGCGCTGCCTCCC